GCTTCTAAGGTCTTTGTGGGTATACTAGTTTCTGTTTAAATTCCTGTGATGCTTAAGAAAACTCAAGTTTATCTGGTTAAATCTAAGTTTAAAGTATTAGAATACCTTTTTTTTTTGTTCTACAAAGTGGCCAGGAAGGAGTTAATACCTCTGGTTGCTTGGAAGAATAAAAGACCTGAAGGCTTTATATGAACCCTAATTCAGTATCCTGACCTACCATCATACTTCTTTAGTAGTCTGCCAAAAGCCTTATATCATTAAGGCAGTTGGCTTTGCGGAGGCTTAAATTTCTTTTATCCTCCATACTGAGGCTACTAATTTTACCATATGCCTTAGACGTTTTTTAAGGGGATCAATAGCTGAACAGAGGCAGTGGTTGATAGGAACTGCAGCATCAGGAGAGTTTTTTTTTATATCATGGTTACCAAATAAATAGAACATTCTTTGGGCAAGAGCTGTATGGCTTTGCATTGAACTGAAAGACTTGAGGCCATCTTTTTTCTGATGATTGTATACTTCTACTGTATACGTTTTAGATCTCTAGGTATTCTTAAGACAAAATATTTGAGGGTCTTTTAGTGGTGGAAGTGTGAGGAGTAAGTGCTCACCTGAAATGTCAACCCTTGAAGTGGCTAATGACAGTATTGCGTCTACTCCTTCTCTATGAAGGCTTTTTTATTGGCAAGATACTTTCTGCATAGCCATTATACTAATTCATGTTTGATGTTTTAATCCTCCTACTATGGAAAGTCAGCCAATTCCTACACTTCTGTTGTAAGGCTTTAAACAAAGCTGCATATAAAGCATGGGATTTAAAGCAATGCTGTGTTACAAATTATGAATGTAACAATACGAAAAGCCTGTCATGACCCTGTTTCAAATGATGTTACCAGTACTTCACAATGACATAGTAGTGGAAAAAATGCTGGTGTAAAAGTGCGATTCTGTTACCAAATGTCTTGTTTGAAGCTGGGTGTATGTGTATTTGGGGAAAGGCTTGCTTTCTAGTAAGTCTGAAGAAAACAGCTTCAGTATTTTACTTCTAAAATCCATTGCTCTGTTAACATAGGTAAGGTGAATGGATATGGGACTTGCATCGAAAAGCCTGCTTTTACATAAGAACTCCAGGAGTTAAGGAATACAGTGAAAGCAGGCCCCTTCTGCTGCCCGCACTTGTCACATGTGTGTTGTACCTGCATGTGGTAAGGGACTTAATGTACAACTTTTTCCAGTTACTTGAGACCCCTGTACCTGATGTTACGTGGGTCCTGTTGTTGCTCTATTTTTTTTTGTCTCAGAGGTAATGGTTGTACTTGTTAAGGTACACCTGGCTGTGGTTTTTACCTTGTAATCCTCTTCAGTGTCAACTTTAATGCAGGGAAGTGGAAAAATGTTACGGTTTTGCAGTCATTCATTAAGCTGTGAAGACTTGAAATGTGTGAAAGAAGGCATCAGCCTTTTGTCCTGTCTTGCAGCTCTGGATGCTGTTGCTGACTATGTTCACATGTCCAGAATTTTACAAGGTTGTCTCACTTTTGAAGTGTCCCAAGTGTCCAGGGTCTGTCTGACTATATATATGTCATACAAGTATAGATGCGTAACTGAACATGACATAACTTTCAGTCTTAACAATGTCATGTCTCTGTCTCTTCTTTTAACACTTGCATGCTCTTAGTGAACAATATATATCTTTGGAACAAAAATGTTTTTCCTGTCATTTTACGTGTAATCTTGGAGTTTCAGTCTGGTGGATCAAAAAAGTCTTTCACAGTCTTCAGCAGCATAGAAATGAAAGCTAAAATTGCTGTGAAAGCAAAACCTTAAGTTTCCTAAATCTGATTATGAGCATGCACTCAATTCTTTCCTTTAAAGCAGCAGCAAGATACAGAACTATGCTTCTGCTGTTTTACAAGACCTTCTATGACAGGTAACCTTGTTCTGTGTCCACATGAGTTTCATCTCCTGAGATTAGTTTTCAGAATAGTTTACGGCATAAGTAATTGATCCATTTCAGAAGCTGCTGGGGTTTCTTTTTTTGTGAACTTTGTGCAAACTACAGTTCTATATTTGATAATTTCAGGAGGTGGTTGAAAAACCCCAAACTGATTGACTTCTAGATTATCATTTAAAAACAGCTATGGAGACCCATTGTTGTTTAACAAGTCATGACTTCTGCAACGATAATGCAACAGTAATACCTAAACTAACTTGCTCTATCACTAAGACGTTACTGTAATAATGTTTTACATTCCTGATGAGCAGCTTCTCTAATCTGCTCTCTTCCTTGGCCTCCCCATCCTTCACAATAAATGATTTTTATTGAGCATGTAATTTTGCTCACCACTATTGCGAAGTAAGCAAAAAGAGTAGGTTTGTTTTGTGTTTGTTTTTTTTAACAGTAATACTCATGATGATTTCACATATTAATTATCACGATCTCTGTTTCATGGTCTCAGTGTTTGCTTAAACTTTGAATTTACTGAAAGGCAAAAATTAACCAGTGGATGTACTCTTACTGCTTTTATAACAAGAATCTAGAGCTTACAAGGTGTTTATTACTATCAGTGTTTTTTTTTTTTTGTAAAGACATAAATCACAAAATTGCTTTCTGAAAGTCCATTTTCATCCCTTCCACCCCATAAACACACTCTCAAATCCTGCATTTGTTTGCTGCTTATTTCTTTGGAATGAGATAAATGGGCTTGATTCCCCTTTGCTAGGGAGAACTTGTCGAGGAAAGGCAGTGGGCCATGAACATGTGTGTGCCTCTAGGTTATGTATTTCATCCTTTTTCTTTTCTCTTTAGAGGTTTCAGTTCTCCTCTGTGACCTGCTGTTCCTCTCTGTTAATAAATGTATCATTTCCTTCCTCTGCATCTTTCAGAGATTTGTATGACTAACTTGTGCTTAAGGATGAATTTTACGATTTTGTCCTGAATGTGGGAAATGCCTCATCCAGCCAAAGATGTTCTTAAAACTGTTGAAAATGTCTTTTTAAAAAGTACAGGGAGAAAAAGATTAATTTTAAGTAGATAACCTACTCCAAAACACCTTTATTTTAAGTGTGTCAAACTCAATTGCTTCAGTTAGATCTTCTCAGGAGTTACAACAGCTTCCTACAGTGTACACAGAAGGGTTTCTGCTTCAGCTGCAGTGGAACTAGTTAAAAATAATGCATGTGGCATGCAGCAATTTTGAAACAGCTTATGTATGGCTGAGCAGTATGGATTTGCAGATACTACTGTCAGCTTGTTTGATGTAACCTATATATATTAAAGTAAGGCTTAAAATTTGAAAGCTATACAAATCAAAAAGCTCCCCCCCCCCCGAAGAACTGTTCAAGAATGGAGTAATTTTGCCTTTACCAAATGCCATATACTGAGCTTTTGAGGCTGTTTGTGACTGCTCAGTGTTTCTGTATTTAAACATTATTTATATAAATCTTTCTGTGATTGCAGTTGGTTAAAACTTAAGTCAGTCATCCGGGTTTATGTATATATATAATACTCTTACACTTGGAAATCTGATAAAATACTCTCCCTCAAGCACTATAAATGAAACTGAGCCGTAGTAGTTAGTAATGCACTTCTGAGGACTATACCCATGAGCAAGTTCTAAAGGAATGATGCGGGTGGATGGGCAAGAAGTTGTTAAGTGTATTTGCTATAGTGTATCCTGGGGCATTTTCAAATCTTGATGATTTTAAAGGTGAGCATCAATCTTCCTAATAAAGACTTGCTGGGAAATTAACCTTAAAAGTAGTCATAGTACTTGAAATTAGCATAGGTAGTGTTATTTTACCTTAACCAGTAAATAGGCATTTTAATCTTATACTTTGAACTAATAAAGGGCCAATTCTAAGACATAACTTTAAAACAAATTCGAGTGCAGTGTCCAAGTTCTGACACTGCAAGTGGCTGCCTCCTTTTTACTAAAAAAGCATTATCCCGTAGTGCTGTTTTGCTTCTTTCCTGTAGCTATTTCCTTTTTCAAAATGCAGTAAGTGTAATGAGGCAGGCAAGTTGTCCTTGATGGGATTCTTATTAGTGTTTAACATTTTGGAAGTCTCCTTTCCATTTATGGGGAATATAAACTCATTTCTGATTTACCTTGGGGATGCCTTACTTTAAAACCCCATATGGGCAGCATTAATTAAATGCTTAACTAAAGCTTTTAGCTGTGCTTCTTCACATAGTAGCTCTCATCTTGGGAGACAAAGCTGACCCTCTTGTGTGTATCGTCCACCTGATATGTGTTTCTTGAACTGATGGGAACTTCTTTGTGAAAAACATGGCAAAACATCACGAATTTTACTAGCAAATTTTTACATGAGAGGTTTAAGGCATTTCAGGCCCTACTGGGATAAGTAGGGTATGGTCTCTGTAATTACTTTCATCAAGTGGTAATTTTGTTTTTCAAATCACTGAAGTGTCAGGTGGCTGCAGAGTCTTGCTGATGGCCTCTCTAAAGAGGTTGCATAAGGAGCTGCTTTCTGCAAGTATTAGGCTAGCGTTAGTTTCTCCATCCTTACATGCTGTACTGCAAACTTTTCAGTGTCTTGAGATTGTCTGTTAAAACTGGCTGTGAGAGGTGTAGAAGGCTTATGCAATTCTTCCTAGGAGGTCTTTGTGCTGCATTAATAACATGGAAGAAAAAGTTCTAGGCTGTTCTGAGTGTGAAGTTCTCCTGTTGTGTAGTAATACTATGATTTCTTGACTGCCAATCAGGAGTTGTAGTCTGAGTGTGAACTGTTCCCGTAGAAGAGAGAAAATACAGACAAATGTGATGATTGCAGATTTGCACTGTGTAGCAACCACGGAGAAGTTGTGTGGTTGGTATTTATTACGTTTCTCTAGTTCTGTAGGGGGCAGTGAATCTGATATTGTAGCCTGAAGATATAGTCTGACAGTTTGTCTCACTGAATGTTTCTGGTTTTAATGTTCTTATACTTTTTAATGTAAGATACTAAACTTTCTACAAATGTATTTTTTTCATTGACAGATATTTTCTGTTTTATAATCACTTGAAGAACATTGAGGAAAATGAAGGTGGCCTTGATAAGTTTTCCAAGAGTTACAAAACCTTTGGAGTTAACCAACTGGCAGATGGTGGAATATATTGCAAAGAGTGGGCACCGGGAGCAGAAGCAGTGTTTCTCGCAGGTGACTTCAGTAAGTATTTTTAGGGTTATTTCTTCTCTCCTGCACTATGATTTAGATCAATATCCTCTTGCCTTAAAGACAATTTTGTAGCAATGATGAAATTCTTGTAGTGAAAATGTATGTCATAGCTTAAACTAGTAATATTTCATTTCACATCACAGTAGCCTAAGAATGTACATGTTTGTATTGCGTTGCTTGCATTATGCATATATGTATTTTAATACCCACAAGGCAATTACTTGTATAAAGGATCTAGCCTGATCACACTGCAACTTCAGGCTGTGTCTAAACTACCTGGGGTTCTTCCTGAAGCTCTGCAGTTAGGCTTCTATAAACCTGTGTACCAAGGAGAAATAACAGGAATAATTTGCTTTATCTGCTTTCTGCTTTTACTGGTGCTGTCCAAGGGTCAAGGCCTTTAAGAAATGCCACTCATCATGAGATTGTAGACAAAAGTCCTGCTGAAAAATGGTAACATGTAATCAAACTAAATACTTCTAAAAGAGTATGTGGTGCTCTGTTTTGAGGGGAGGAGGAGGAAGGATGTTGGCAGAACAGGAAGGTGGCAGGATTACATGGAGGAATTTCATTGCTTACTCGGAGAACCAAGAATATGATTCACTGAACTTGAGACAAAAATGTAAATTTACTCCTTATTTTGGAAGTAAATAAGGAGCAATTACACTGCAACAGTGTTCTGCAAATTCTTAAATGGAAGTGACATGCATTTTTCCTCTGAAGTCCTGCAATACCAGTTTCACTCTCTCCTTTTTGTTTGGGGTCATGGGGGATCTAGTTCTGTTTTTCTGTTTGAACTCTCTGTCCCTTCTTTAGGATTAGGTATTAGTCCATCAGGATACTAGGAATTCCATTGCTGACTCTTACTGAACTGAGACATTCTCTGTGAAATAGTTTGGTTCATTTAACTGCATTTCAGAGCTATGCAGTGTTATTTATCCAACTTTTCTTTTGTAGAAATACTGGTCTGGTGTATGTTCAGTCAGTGTATTTATATTACAAAAACTATGAATTGCCAATTTGAGGTAACTAACTTTGTGTTTAAGCAGAAGTATTTAAATGTTGAGTTTTACTTCTTTCTTACCTTGCCTTTGTTTGAGGAAACTATGGAAGAACAAACTCTGTATTTAAGGAAGTAACAAACTTGAAATTGTATGTGCATGTGTAACTTTAAACTGATGAGACTTTTTACGTATGCCATTAGTTGTAGTATCTAGTGGTGTTTTCTAAAGTACCGTAGTTCAGCATCTGTAATACGTGTGCAGTAATAAAGAAACAAATGGGCTATCTTGGCAGTGTGCTTCAGATCCATTAAGATTACTCTCAGTGCTTTGTAACAGTCTGGTTTAATACTGTTTTTCCATAGTCGTAAGATCAATACACTTATAAATGGAATAAGCAAAAGCAAATATTTATATATTCACATTATGCTTCAGTTTTCAGAGTCATAAAATGCATCTATTGTAGTTGCCAGAAAACTGTGTTCTTGCTTTCTGTTGAAGAACTCAGTGGGAGGGTCTGTGTCCACTATTCACTGTGATAATTTGAATTTACAGACTATTATTTTCTAAAAGAGCTTGGGTTTGATGCATGCAGAAGACGAACATAAAAGTTAGTGCACTACTGTTTTCAGCCATGGTCCTGTTTGATAGAGGTAACCTAGTGACCGATCGAGTAGCTTTTCTTGAAATACTTCCTGTCTTTTTATTGAACTAAACATTGATAAAATAGGTTATTGTAGCACTCGAATTTTAATGTGGGGATGAAATGTCCTCTTATTCACAACTGAATAATGAATCATGAGTATAGTTCACCTACTGCTAATAATAATGATTTCAGCCATCACTACTGACTGCAGGACATCTAGATGAGGGTATTTTAATACTTTATATGTGTAAACTACACAGAAAACTCTCGTCCTTATCTTTCTTCTACTTGCTACAACCCCCTCATTGCTCATGGGATTTATGTGGTGGATGTAAGTCTTCAACTTGTGTTGACACTACAAGTGTTGAGTAGTTTAACTTGGAATACATTTATTTTAAATACGTACTTTAATCGATGGCCATTTTAAAACCAGACTTTTAATGACATTATTGTCTAGTATTTTAAAAAGAGGGTATAACTTGCAAATTGACTTAGTAGGTTGGTGGAGGAAGTAAACATATCATAGAATCATAGAATCCCACTGTGGAAGGGACCCCAAGGATTGTGTGGTCCAACCTTTCATGGCAAAGCAAGATTTGGCTGGATGAAAGGGTCTAGATCGCAAGTGTCCAATGTTAGGGAATCCACCACTATGCTGGGGAGACTTTTATAATGGCTGAGTGTTCTTGCTGTGAAAAATTTGTCTTGTGTCCAGTTGGAATCTCCCAAGAATTAATTTGTACGTATTACCCCGTGTCATTTCCATATGACTCCTTGTAAAAAAGGCAGTCTCCATCTTCTTCGTAGCCACCATTTACATACTGGAGTATGGTGATAAGGTCTTCCCTAAAACTTCTTTTCTCAAAGCTGAACAACCCTAGTTCTCTAACTCCTTTCTTACATGGCATGCTTCTCAGTCCTTCCTTTATGGCCCTTCTCTGGACCCACTCCAGCCTTTCCACATCTTTTTTTGAAGAGTGGGGACCAAAACTGAACACAGTATTTCAGGTGTGGCCTGACAAGCGCTGAGTAGAATATCTATACCAGAATACAGTAGCTAAAAACTGGAATGGTTTTCTGAACTCTATTTCCTTTAAAATATTTCATGTAATACATCATATGAAGTAGAAATTTAGGACTAATATCTTAGAGTGGTTGTGTCTGCATGTAATGAAATGTGGCAGTAAGAAGTTAAAAAACCCACTAAAAAGTAGTTCTCTCTAATGTGGAAAACCTGTTTGTCCTGTATCATATTAATCAGTCATAGCAAAGTATTCATTCCCAAAGGGAAAGGTGGCATACTTGGAAAGCCTAGAGGAATTGAAGATTGTCATTCAATTCAGATGAGCTTTAATAATATTCTGATGAGAAATTGGGTCGTAGACTCCTAAGATTCAGATTCAGGTTGCTACAGATATGTTTAATTAAAACTGAATCCCTTTAACCTTTCTTTAAGTATTCAAACAGGTTAAAGTCTGAAGCTAAATTTATGATTGTATTGTATTTAAATTGAATATCAGGATTGATTTTAATAATAATTTTTTCATGAAACTTTTTATAAGGAGAATTGTAATTGGACTATGTGAGGGTAAGATGGGAATTTTAAACAAGGAAACAAACATGGAACTTTAATGACAGCAGATCTTTAGGTTTTAAATTGAAATGTGATGGTATGTAATGTAAAAATAGTCAATTCATGCTTTGTATTTTAGTTCTTTTATAAGGAGATTCAATTTCTCAGTATTTTTGTGCCTCATTCTGCGACACTTTTAATGAATGGCATAGCTCCTAGTTATAGAATAATTGCTAGTATCACTGTGCATTCTGGAAGAAAAGTAGAATCCAGTACAAATCTGTACTTGGATTCAAGAATGAGAAACATCAATTCAGGAAAATCCCAATACTTTCAGAGTTCTTTAACGTCTTTAAAACTCCATAATTGGAGAGAAGAAAGTATTGTATCTGTTTGTGTTCTGGTATGATGCTTTACGCCATCTGAGAAGTGTTAAATGAACATCCAAAACCGTAAAGATTTGTCAGTTAGTACCTTTAGCATCTCGGTGAATCAAGTTTATGAGGCAATTAGCTGAATTTCTGATACTAGAGGCAGTATTAACAGTGTAGCTACCTTAAAATGTCTCAGTAGTAACACACTGAATATTTTACTTGCATGCTGTCTTGCTGAGGAACTTGGTGTCTACTGGCAATTTATTGCTAATTTAAAATCAACTATTCCAAAATAAGTCACTGAACTGCAACTTCTGAGGATAAACCACAGAATTTGTTTGGGAATTAGAATACTTCAAATTGTGTTTAGCTGTGCAGAGACTCAGTAGGTTATCTGTAAGCAATATTATAATTAAAACAGGAAAACCCCCAAACACGCAAAACCCCTCAACACTACTGGCTTTAAGACACTTGAAGGAGTAAAGTATGTACATGCTAATTTGGAGGTCAGTATTTAATACAATACTGTCATATTTGTGGTTTCTGGCCTTTAGTTCTCTTTTTTTCTTTTCTCTGTCTTCCTTTCCCTCCTTCCCAGCTAACAGTAGATCTAAAATATTGAGTACTCTGGAATGTCTGTTTTCTGCTTTCTTTTTCTTGCACTAGTGGGAAAGGCTTCAGCTGAAGGTAGAAGGATGGTGGGCTGGTTGGTTTTGGGAGGAGGTTTATTTATTATTTAAGCTCTGACAGGTTTCTTCACAGTGAAGAAAGGGGAATTTATGCCACCAGCCCTCATAATTTTGGTATCTGACAGCTGACTGGAAACTTTTCATAGTAGGAACTCTCCCTCCCCCAGACTTGACTCAAATTTGTACTGAAATGCAGTCTAGAGGCTAGTGTGATATGATACCAGACTTCTCGCTACTTTCTTCAAAGGTTTGTACAGACAAATACCTAGATTTCATGAGTAAGATCAGACAGTGCTATACTTCTGTGGCTGCAGACTAGTGAAGGCAGTAGGCTGAAGTATAAGCTGCTATTAATGTCCCGGGAGACTTCCAATCTGAGAAGTAATGGCATGTGTTCTTATGTCAGTGTTTGAGCTGTTTAGCCACTTTTTAAGTGGATTATGTTAACAACCCTGCTGTTGAGCTGTTGGCCAGGAGGAAGACATAATTGGCCACTCTGTAGAACAGTATAGTGTCATTAGAGAATCTCTCCGTTTGTGTCCCAAGCAAATGATATAAAGGTATTTTGTGAGGTAGTGGGAGTTTGATGCCTCTCCCCTTGTGTGAACTGCTATTTGTGTGGTATCTTTTTCTCAAGGAAGCTGTGTGAATCCTTGCTGGACTTCATTTTCTGGGCAGTTTTCAGTAGTTACAACATTTACACTGGAACATGTAAATGATCTGGTCATTATGCAAGGAGTATTCCTCCACTGTCTCCCCTGTAAGAAGCAAGAGGAGTGTTAATTTCTGATATGAAACTTTAAGATAGCCATGAGCTTCACAGCTGTACAGCTATAGATTTATCAATGTTAAAACAAAACTAGGCAGTGGAACAAGTCACTTAGTTTGATTAAGCTGAAAGTATTGCATTTGAATTGAGTTTTAATGTTAGGTGGTAGAATCCAAGCCATTATATCTTAAAAGTGAGTTCTAGATTAAAGCTCAATACGTGATTCTCTGGCATGCCAAGGGTGCATTTCCAAGCAACGAGTTCCCTTGTGCCTCATGTTTCTGAGGTAGGATGTTAGGGCCTGAACTTTCATATAGAAGCTTTTTTCTCTGTGTATGGCTTATGGGTTTTCTGTGATGGTGTCCTTGTTTCCAAAAACCTATTGGAGCTGATTACGCTAAAAACCTATTGAAGCTGAACTTCTTCTGCTGGTAATCTTATCAGCCTTTTTCTGTTTGTAGCTACTGACAAAGTTTTTGAAGTCCCTGTTCTCAAGCTGGAGATGCTTTATATTTTCAACTTATGAATAGTCTGCTATTCAGTGTTTGGCTGGTTGGGGATTGTTTTGGTTTGGTTGGGTTTGTGGTTTTTGTTAATTGTGGGGTTTTTTTCCAGTTTTTTTTTTTTGTCTTGCTTGTTTTCTGATTTTGGTTGGTTGGGTTTGTTTTTTTTTTTTCTGAAGGTTTTCTGGCTATCTTTTGCCAAAAACTCTGAAAACCAAGCAGTAAAACAAAAAGAAGCCTAAGCTGCTTCCTCCTTGAAGTCAGCCTTCAGTTGAAGAAGGCTTCTTCAGGGGAAGAAGGTGGAAAGAGCTGGTAGTAATTCACATAAGGAGGGCTTGACTATCATAAACAAGTTCCTTAAAGCAGTCTTCCTGCAACTCAGGATGTCTGTTACTTTTTCATCTTTCTTCTGTTTTCCCATTTTTGCCTGAATTTATTTCAGACGCCTCAGCTGTTTGCAATTTACATTCCCTGAAATGAAATAAATGTAGAATCATAGAAGAGTTTGAATTGGAAGGCGTCTTAAAGTCTCATCTAGTTGCAGTCCCCCTGGCCACAGGCAGGGACACCTTCCACTAGACCAGGTTGCTCAAAGCCCGATCCAACCTGGCCTTGAACACGAGATATTTCTACTGGCTTGTCTAGGATGTGAGGTTTTAAATCTACATTAAGCATTACTTTTCAGCCATTGATTTTTGTACCACCATGTGTTTGTGATATTAAAATCAGCAGTGTTTTTTGGGGAGGAGGATGTTTACTTTGATCAGAGGGGAAGTAGGAATAATTTAATCATGGTGAAATTGGAATTGGAGTATGGTTTCCTAGTGAAAGTCTTACACATTTTATTGAAACTCTCTTAAATGTGTATGGTGATATCAGATATCACAGTGTTTGTGTATGTTCTCACTGAAGTTTATTCTGGGAAAGATGTAACAGTGTTAATACCTTTGAATTGTACTTCGATATATTTTAAGATAAGTACTTAATAATTTTTCTTATACTGCAGATGGCTGGAATCCATTTTCTCATCCGTATAAGAAGATGGAATATGGGAAGTGGGAGTTAATCATTCCACCTGGACAAGATGGTTGTCCTCTTGTGCCCCATGGATCAAGGCTAAAGGTGTTGGTTTTAGACTTATTCTGTCAAATTCTTGTAACCCTTCTTACTCAGTTGTCCTGTTTTCTTTTAAATACTTTAATCACCTTTTAATTGTTCTAAGAAGCAGAATCAGTTTATCTGCTTGTGCAGATTGACCTCGGTGAGTGAAACCATTAACATCTAACTCTTTGTGATGCCTAAGAACAGGCAGAAGTTACTGAAATGTGGATGATCTTTAAAGGTCCCTTCTAACCTAAACCATTCTATGATTCTGTAATTTGTGTAATCGTAGTAATATATTTTCAGGGCTCCCATCAACTAAACTAGCATGCTATAAAAATCCTAATTTTTATGCTGAAAATCAGCTTAGGTAAACAGGAAATTTGCTGAAACAGAGATATGCATAATGCTCTGGAAATGCTTTCTTTTGATATGTATGAAATTATGGGTGAAACTTTGTAGTAATTGTTCAAGGATAAGAGAGCTGTGTTATAGACCAGGAAAGAAGACAGTTGTCTGCAACTCTTAACACAGTGATTATGCAGTAATGTATGAGACTGCAAGATGGTTACTTAATATTTTTTGTTTTTGAGGTGTAAATAGGTTAGATTTTTTGATTGTTGCTAAATTTACCTTTTGTATCTACAAAGCAACTGATCTCACCTACTGTAGGATATTCTCTGTTTAGCATAGAGATAAGAGGTGTGAATGATGAGGAGTAATGATAGTTATAAAGATAATAGCAAAGAGCAGATACTCTTAAACATGTTTGGAATAATTTAAGATGATTTTTTGTGCCTCTTGCTATATAAACACTGGTCATATCTCATAATTTTGAAGCACAGTTCTTATAGTACCTTTACCATTCATTTTCTTTGAAATATAAACTCCATAAAGCAAAGATTCATTGTGCATAATTTGTTCAGTATGCAGAGTTTTCAGCTACTGATCACTCTCGGTACTGATGCACTGGTAAGATGATTTGCTGTGGTTCTGTCGTTGCTCTGAGTCTTCTGAAAAGCCATCAGTCTCCTGCTGGCAGAGCAGAATGTGACTTTGTTTTCCTCTCTTTGACTTATTTTAGTATTTATTATTTAGGCTCTTTCACGCTTTAATTGTGCTTTTACGTGGTCAATTTGAAACAAAGATGTATGTAGTTGTCACTGCCAAACAGACTCATGAAGCTGGACTGTTCTGTTTGCCTGTGAGAGGTTTGCTTATTTATGTAAGTTCAAAGATTTAGAAACTTGATTCCAAGTGTAATGATCATTAATGATTTCATCCGTACGGAACTGCTCCCAAGCCTTTCTTCCCAAGGGCTTCCCAAGCCCTATAACTTCACTAATAAGCTTTCCTGACACTTTGGTTTGTTTCCATGGTGCTTACACAACTGAATCTAACACATTGCAATGTTTAGTTTCAATGTATTTAGATGGTATAACTAATATGGTGAGAACTCTCCAGTTTAAGGTAGATCTAAAATGGTTTATCTGTCACAAAACCTGGAATGAGGTTGCAGTATTCTCATGCAACCTATGCAACCTATTCTCATGCAGTATTCTCATGCTGGAGAGGGATGGTTCACTGGGGACTGTAGTGATGGGACAAGGGGTAATGGGTTAAAACTTAAACAGAGGAAGTTAAGATTGGATATAAGGAAGAAGTTCTTTACTGTAAGGGTGGTGAGGTACCGGAATGGGTTGCCCAGGGAAGTTGTGAATGCTCCATCCCTGGCAGTGTTCAAGGCCAGGTTGGACAGAGCCTTGGGTGACATGGTTTAGTGTGAGGTGTCCCTGCCATGGCAGGGGGGGGTTGGAACTGGATGACCTTAAGGTCCTTTCCAACCCTAACTATTCTATGATTCTATTCCATGTGGTAAGCATGTACATTACCCTCATGCTATGGCTGCTCATTTTTTCCTCTCTCATTCTACTAATGTGTTCAGAAAATTACTGCTTTTTAAGTTTTCCTCAACTGCATGGTTCTGGTGGTTCACAAATGTGTGTACTTTTTTGGCAACACAAGGATTTTGTGGCAGAGCATAGTTTTGTCAAGGTCCCTCTGGATGGCATTCCTTCCCTCCAGCGTATCAACTGAATCACACAGCTTGGTGTCATCGGCAAACTCGCCGAGGGCGCACTCAATCCCACTGTCCATGTCAGCGACAAAGATGTTGAACAAGACCGGTCCCAACACTGATCCCTGAGGGACACCACTCGTTACTGGTCTCCAGCTGGACATTGAGCCATTGACCACAACTCTTTGTGTGCGGCCATCCAGCCAGTTCTTTACCCACCGAGTCGTCCATCCATCAAATTGATGTCTCTCCAATTTAGAGACAAGGATGTCGTGTGGGACAGTGTCAAACACTGTGCACAAGTCCAGGTAGCTGACATCAACTGCTCTGTCCCTGTCCATCAGTTCGGTAGCCCCATCATAGAAGGCCACCAAATTGGTCAGGCAGGATTTCCCCTTAGTGAAGCCATGCTGGCTGTCACCAAGCACCTTGTTGTTTTTCATGTGCCTTAGCATGCCTTCCAGGAGAATCTGCTCCAAGATTTTGCCAGGCACAGAGGTGAGACTGACTGGTCTGTAGTTCCCTGGGTCATCCATTTTCCCCTTCGTGAAAATGGGGGTTATTTTTTCCCCTTTTCCAGTAGTCTGGAAATTCACCTGACCACCATAATTTTTCAAATACGATGGACTTTGTTCATGTAGAAGCTGAGAGTATTTAGTTGTCTGTAGATGGGAATCACTATGCAGATTGTAGACCTAACATTTAAATACAGAGGGGCTGTTGTCTGTAAGCACTAGACTAGGCAACAAAGTATTTCTTTTCAGTAGTGAAGGTAGTCCCCTTTTTGTTTTAATAAGGAATGATATGAAAATAACAGGTTTTAAAGCTGCTTTTTACCAATATTATTCTTAAATATGTAAGTTAAAATAGTCAACTTCAGACATTTATGCAGTGATTTGATTAATCTCCCTGGGGGAAAAAGTCTCCTCCAGAAGGCCCTTATCTTTATCTTCCATCTCCACTGTTTTCATCTTTAGCTCTATGCAAGTGAATGCCAAGTTCTGAAACGGTGACAGGGTCATTCCTTTTAAATAAGTAATTTCTAAGCCAGAATGGGAAATGGATGGAGTGTGTCTGGTGACACTAATTTAGATCAGGTCACAAAATACTTTTGTAGGAAAATGGATGAGGATCAGAGGTCAACCATTCGCCTGTTTTCAATAGTAGTGGACTGTCTACTACAGCTCTTCAGGCAGTCTTCTCATAAGTAAATACAAACATTGAAGAAAGTGAGTAATTAAAAAAGCTGCTATAGATCTTCTGATAACATTTCTCTGTGAAGGAATGGATGCTTATGACAGTTGAATGACTCCCTTGTGAATTATGACATCCATCTATAAGATGTTACCTGCTAGAACAGGGTATTTTATTTTTCTCCCATGGATCAGTTGGAGTTTAGAGTGAGTGAAGTGAAAAAATACAGTTGCTGCTATGACTGTGTAGTGTTTGGTTTTCTTTTTTCTGCCTAAACTTCTGGCAGATGTCCTAAACTGAGTACAGATTAAAAAACAAACACCAAAAAAAAACACACCCCAAACCAGACTTTGTGCTTTTAATGAATTAACTCACTTTACCCCTGTTTCATTATTCTAATGGGTGTAGTTATAATGATGGTTTCTTTAACTGTTAGCATGCTTGTCATTCTAACAGTGATGACAGTTGGGGGTGGGTGTCCTTCTCTCATGGTTGAAAATAACTGAATTCTTCCTTTATTGTCAGAGTATTCTTAATTAGATTTCCACAATATAGAACAAGGTTTTAGGGAAAATTAGCGTGGGTAGGCTTCTTCAGCAAGTCTTGTCATGTGCTGTCATGTGCATACAGGAGCAATGTTCCACTGTTCTTTTACTGTTTATTTAGAAATGAGTTTTACAACTGCTTAAAAATGCCTGCAAATTGAGTTTTCACTGAAGTCCATAACGTGCTAATTTTGAAATGGCATCAGTGGAGTTTAAGTGTGGAGACAGTATGGTAAAAATTGAGATCTTAGTGTCTGCACTGGGGACTTGTTTAATATTCTTGATAGGAATACGAGGGAACAATACAGGAAATGCAGATTAATCATGGTTAGAAACACCTAAAAGTACATTTTGTATCCATGGGGTGCTGGGAAGAGCAAAGTTAGTTATAAAGAATATTATTAAAACTTAATCCTTAGAGTTTTTACTACTCTATCCTGTGCTTCATAGTAGATCTGCATGCTCTGGTGGTAACTCGCAAACCCTGAAAAGGAATCAAATATGGTGAGCAGGTAGGTTAATTAGTGTCAGTGAACCACTGTTAGTAAAATTCATCAGGTGTAATTACTGTCACTGATGAAGTAGATGGTGTTGCAGCTGACCCTACTGATCAGGAAGTCCAGCAGCATAGTATCAGACTGGCTTTGAGTTCAGGTCTCATGCGCTTCAAGCAGTCTGCAGTCAAAACGTGAAGGTGTTTTTTAATGAGAATGCGAAAACCTGGGGAACTTTAATAATGGGATAATAGGATAGCAGTTAAGATTCTAGGTATAGAAGTGTTTCAGTGGCATAAGATGTAAATGGAATCATAAAATGCCTAGTTGGAGGGGAGCTCAAGGATCATCTGGTCCAGTCTTTCTTGGCAAAAGCCATAGGCTAGCCAAGATAGCCCAGCACCCTGTCCACTGAATTTTAAGTGTCCAGTGTTGGGGAATCCACCACTTCCTTGGGACATAATTCCTGTGACTGTTCTCAATATGAAATATGTTATGTGCAGTTAGACAACTTTTATAAAGGGAGCCCCAGGTACCACTAGCAGAGGAATAAAACTTTATTTCAATGGGAAGCTTCCTGAGGAAGTGTTCACTGGTTTCTTATATTAACAAATATAATCACTTTTAATATTTTTTTTTGTCTTCACCTTAGCTGGGGGTTAGGCAGTATCCTTGCTCATAGTCTGTTAACTTCCATGTCACTTAAATTTC